ATAACAGTTTTCTCCCTCCTGGTGAAAAAGCTTAATTGAAACCATATTGAGCATTTAGACACAGCCCACAGCACCAAAGGTGGGCCCGGCATGCAATGCTCAGAAAAGGCATCTCTCAGATGGATGGAGACACAGATGTTAAGACCCACCATACACAAGACAACCCACTGGGCCCAACATGACAAGCCTGAAGCCATAAGAACAGGAACACTGCCTCTGGTTCCCAGAAGTCCTGCTCCACACCTGTGGACAAGTGAGGACCCAGTTAAGTCTATGAACATACAAACTGCCTGCAAGGCACCAGGAGGTTCAGGGCTTATCAATCATCCTCCTCAGGCACCAACCACAGCCAGGCCTGTCACTCTGCCCATTGCTAGAAGAGACCAAGAGATCACTCCATGGAAGCTCACATGTCCTCTCCTTTGATAACATGTACTCGGGAATGCTAACATCAACTCCAACTGCTGCCCACTGCTTAAACGCATGGACACCTTGCCACTCAAGGTGATATTCATCAGCACAGTAATCTCAAACAAGTCCCTGACTCTTGCCTGAGAGGTGCCCATTCTTCATCTGGAGCTAGGACAAACCACCCCACAAACGCAGGGTTAGAGGGAACTCTGGTGGGTGCTCAGAAGTCTGCAAGTCTCTGTTCACGAGGCTGGGCACCACCATCACACCCTTCCTTCTGTCTAACAGCTTCTGTGACCCCATATCCCTCACAGGGAAAACTCACACCTTGCTCTTTCTCAAGATCCTTCTTCCGATGGTGATCAAGAAGCCGCAAAGGCCAGTCTCTGCCGACCCACATCAACAAGAACACACACCTAGTTTAGTCTGCACTTGGTTGCAATCACAGAGACTAGAAATTTCACAGAGCTGCCAACTAGCCATCTCCTGAAAGTCCCCCTCAAAACCCATACATGTGCCTGGCAGGAAAGAGGCCAAAACAGCCATGTACCTGAGTTCCTCAGTTCCAGAAACTCTCACATGGGGCTCTATGTAGACACAAGCTTCCCTAGACCATTTGCAGCTCCTCTCCCTGGAGCCTTCTGTCCCCAGAGCTTCACATCACCTATGACACAGGTGCCACACCCCACTTCTCACCCACATTGATGTTACTAGGCCTTGCTCATCAATATCGGATGGCCCATCACTGTAAGAGTCTCCCTGTGGGAGAGAGCAGGAACTCCTCATCTGTTCACACCCCTATCTGGACTGCTCTCTGCACGTGGAACTTTTCAGCTTTCCTGACCTGACCTGACCTGAGTTGTTCAGCACTTTTGGTGAAGAATGTCAAATATGTTTGATTTCAAAACACTTGAATGTTCTTCATTCACCAAGAGTTTTCATTTGAACAATTCTATGTGGAGACAAAAAAAAAAAAAGCCATTTCCTTCTTAACACTGGTCATAATTTAAATGTCATGTGGTCGCTGAAAGTCACCTAGATGACCAGATGGTGTTATCAAATGAAGGATCAAAAGGAACATATCCTGTTCGCCCTGTGAACTATAGACTTAAGTATTCTTTACCATCCAGCTTTCCCATCCCATCCAAGGGACTTTTGCTGCTATAAAGAATTCTTCTCTCCTAACTTACTGGGACAGTGAGATCAGTGATTAGAGAGGCCTCTAATAAGAGTGAATGGGAAGAGTAAGGCTGGGCCTAGTGAGGATAACGGGAAGAATCCAGTGCTCATGTAGAGCTTCTCTTAGGTGGTCGTAAATATCCATTGGCTGAAAGAGTCACAAACTCTGTTAAGTCCTCAACAAGAAACCCACACTAGGATGTGGCACTTATAGTTCCCAAGAGTCTTCAAGCCTCAAAGCCCGGCCCCTACCCCCTTGTTAACCCACTTGCTCCTCACAGTAACCAAGAGGTTAGGCAGCTAAAGTTCAAGCTTCCCCATTTTTAAAGCTGGAAAGTGCACCTCTCAACAGTGTCAAGACTGGCCCACAGCCCCACATCTGGCAGAGACCTAAGTGTCTGGCGTTTCCCATTCCCTCCAGCAAGCCTTCCTCCTGGGTAATGCTGCTGCTGCTCCTTCAGGTAGGGCCCTCTGCACACACTGCTACTGCAGCCACGTCTGAGAAAAGCACTCACCAGAGCTGGGTTTAGTGCAGTGGCACACTGCTTGCTTGTTAACACTGCAAGTCCCTGGGTCTCATCTCCAGTGCCACTGCAAACGCAGAGAGATTCACCAACAATCATTACTTAAGGCTAGCAGACTCAGTTTCATTTCTGTCATGAATGGGACAGAAATCAAGAAAGTGATAAAAATTCTAAATGTGGCCTTTTCTGTTACCTTATAGATTATACAGTTCATAGTAAAACAGCCAGAGGCAGCAACAATAACTAACCCTCCCACTTTCTACCCAAAAGCTTTAATCTGTCTCATCCAAAGAATTTCTGACACTTGACCTCAGAGGCTTCTCAGACTTTTGTGATTCAGAACAAACACAAATCTGAGACCTTAAAAAATTCCAGTAAAAAAATACTTAGTCCCTGTACAACCATGGGAAAATTGCAAGCTCCTTGGTCAGGGACAATATGAATGGTTTCCTTAAAGCATAATGTACTGTTCTTTCTTTATATGTTGTCTGAGTGTTTACTAGGGTCCAGCTACCTGCCAGCCACCCAAGTGCTGATCACTGCCTTACTGACTGATACCCTCTTCCCCCAACTCTAGGGTGCTGGCACCTAGAGAGTGACTGTTGCCTTGCTGTTCATCAAGGAACTGCACAACTGCTCAGGAAGTCCAGCATATGGCAAGACTCAACAAACATTGGTGTTAGAAAGAGGGACATAGGAGCCAGGGCTTTTTATTACTCTGTACACCCAATAGTCTTTAAAATCCACCAACAACCTGAGGAGTTCTGAAAGATTCCTCACGCAAGGCACAGATGTGGGCATAGCAGCTGTCATGCAGAGGAGCTGGAGTCTAGAATTGTGAAGAATCCAGCCCTTTGTTTCAGCAGTTTGAGGTTATGCCCAATGTCAATCTATCAGTCAGCTGTATGTCCCCAACAAATAACCAGCAAGGCCTCTGAATCAATTTACTCTTATTCTCTCTGACACCACTGCCAAAGAAGCTATTATTTAAATGCCTAAAGTCATACTGAGTAAATAAAAAGTTCTGCCTTCCCAGCTGTTAAAGTCAGACTTCACAGCATACTTAAGAAAAGTTTGATTCACTAAACTCTCCTTAGGTCAAGGACAGCCACCTGACCTCTTCTGAAGTAAGCTGTCCAAAGCAGGGTGCCTATATGTTCTAAGCATGAGCTTCATTTCATGCAAGTCTCCCACACACACACCCCCTTGATTTGAGACAGGGTTTATCTGTATTGTTTTGGAGTCTGTCATGGAACTCACTCTATAGACCAGGCTGGCCTCAAACTCAGAGATCCGCCTGTCTCTACCTCCCCAGTGCTAGGATTAAAGGCGTGAGCCACCAACATCCGGCTCACAAAAGTCTTTTAATCAAAGTTCAAGAAGGACTCAGTGAGCTATCCGATATCCAGACTCTTTATCAGAATAATATGGGGCAGTAAGAAATACAAATTACCAAATATAAAAAAACTATCAGATCTAGCCATGAAATGTGTAAGTCTGTGTACCCTAATAAAACAAGATTAGTTTCAGGTTTTTCTTCCACACTAAACTAGCTGAATAGAATAATAACTAAAGAAAAATAAGAATGAAACAGGTTCTGAATACACACACCAAAGTTTACCACAAAGCAAATCGAGAATGCCATCGAGTTACAGATCTGATGAAAGGTCAGAATTTAATGCCACAGTAAGAAACTTCTCAGGTCCCCTAATGTTTGGACTCAAGTGGTAGTTTATCTAGGAAGGCTGGTAGCATGATTCTTGTTTACAAACAAAATGTACACTAAATACAGAAACGAGTCAAATAATGGGAGTGAAAACAAAATGTTAAAGCTTTGGCCCAAACAAAATCTCAGCACACTTGGGGGAGGGTTGGAATTTTCTAGATTCTTATCATCTGACCCAGAACCAAAGTATTTAATGAACTAAAGAAGTAAGTAAATCACCCGGCCATCCTTGGTGAGCCTATTTTACTCTGCTGTGAAACACAAAGAATATGAAATTGAAGTCACAATGAGCTCATCAAATATTGCTTGAGAGTTTTCCAAAACCCCGTTTATGCTTTTATTTATAGCCTCACTGCCACAACATACTTTGCAATGTTCCGGGAAAAGAACGGGCTTGTTCGGAATGAAATAATTTACTAAGATCTAAGGAAAGAGGAAAAAAACCCAAAAATTCCAATGTTCTTGTTTTAATAAAAATCGACTGTATCGTGCCTTGGCCTGTTTTCAAACTAGGCTCAATAAGAGATTCCCAAATTCGAGTTAAAGTTTTTCGTAAAAAAATTCCAGCGACGTATCTGCATGCCAGCTGGAAATATGATATAGTCATCCAAACTATTTTCCTACCCACAAATTATCCCCTCCCTTTTACAAGTGTGACTACATTCTACCTTCTGTTCTAAACACCATCTATCACAGAACTGTAAAACTGAGGGCCCGGCAAGCCCCCTTAACTTTCACAAAGCCCAAAGCATTCCGTGTGGCAGCCCACCGCCCTTGGCCCCCCAGTGCACCCCATCTTTGTCTTTCCCAGGTCCGGCTCTCCCTTCCCCTCTCCCTCCTCCGCCGCGTCCTGCGCTGTCAGCGGAGCCGGAAGGCGCGGGCGGCCCTCCCTCGCGGCGCGGCCGGCCGGCCCGATTCCGGGAGCAGGGCCGGGCCCGTACTCGGGGGCCGCACGCGCACTTCCCGCCGCGCGGGCGCTCAGGCGCAAGTTCGCAAACAGCCCGAGCGCGCCGAGATCGCCGTGATTCAGCAGCGGGCCGGGCGGGGATGGCGCACCGAGCCCGGAAAAGGTCACCGCGACGCCACGGGCAACGCCCGGCCTTCAACCCTTACGCCCGCGCGGGTGCGGCCCGGGCCCAGCGGAGGGCGGCGATTCCTACCTCTGCGGCTCTTCGGAGAGCTCCGCTTGCTCCGGGCGCTGGCTCGCTCTTCCTCAATCGCAGCTGCTATCTCAGGGTTGTCTTCCCCATTGTACCAGACCAGGAGCTCCTCGCCAGGCGCGATTGGCTACAGAAGAGACGAGACAAGGTGCGAGCCAATCAGAGAGGAGGTTGTTGGCGGGGGCGGCGCGGCGACGGGCAGCAGCGGCGCGCCGACCGCAAACAGCTGTCGGGAAGGCGCCGCCGCCGCGGACGCGCAGGGAGGAGGCGGGGCCAGGGAGCGCGCAGGAAGGAGGCGGGCCCTGGGGCGCGGGCCCCGGCAGGAGGTGGAGCTGTCCCTTGCTCGGGCTAACAGAAAACTCCTTGACTGACAGGGCCAAGGCAGGACACTCAGGGCAAGAGGACCTGGCAGCTTGTCAGAGGCTCCCAGGAGTGCATGTACTGGCTCAGCCTCCATCACTAGACTCTACAGCTAGCTACCAGCCTCATTCCACCCTCGCAAGAGAGAAAATAAAACATGGGACCATTCTGCCCATGAAATTCAAGTGGATGAGAAATTGAAAGGGCCATTAAGAAGCAAATGGCATGGGAAGGAATTAGCAGCATAGTTTCTGATTCCAAGCACAAGTTAAGCAGGGACGCTCTGCACCTTTATCCATGCACACACCACTATTTATAATTACAGAAACGCTGAGCTCAGGCAGAGCTGCCCTAGCATCCTCAAAGCAGTCACCAACCATTGCAGGCCCGTGAAGACACATCAAAAGTATACATCACAATTTCTAGCTACAGAAATGCCTACGAATACTTCCCAGGCATTATGCGCCTAAAATATTAAGCTCCTGACACCATCATACAACTAACTACACCTGAAGCACCCTGATCAAACACTTGGGAGTAAAAAAGTGAGTCCTAAACAGAACTGGGAAGGTGACATAGTTTTCATTTACTCTTGGGAACCCATCTGTTGGGAAAGTTCAAGTAAAAGCCTATCTAAACCCACATGGCTGACACAGATGATGGAAGAAAGACAAATAAAAGGGAATGTTCTAGAGCGATGGTGGCACACGCCTTTAATCCCAGCACTCAGATGCAGAGGCATGCAGATCTCTGTGAGTTCGAGGCCAGCCTGGTCTACTGAGCAAGTTCCAGGACAGCCTCCAAAGCCACAAAGAAAGCCTGTCCTGAAGAACCAAACAACAACCAAAAAAAAAAAAAAGGGGGGGATGCTCTCACTTAAAGTTGACCCAGTGGGAAAGAGGGAACTACAATAATCCATATCACAATGGTCAACACAGATTGATCCAGATGAAACTCCCAGTGGCCCTATGGGTAACAGGTGAAAGTCTGAGAAGTCCCAACATTTGCCTCCTGTCAAACCCTCTTTCCACAACAGCTGTCAGTCACGGAGGACGTATCTTTATAGTAAGTCAGATAGACACAGTACCTGCCTCCTGAGACCATGCACAGAGACAGAAGAGGTCACTTCTGGGACGACAAGAAGGAATTAAGTGGGATCTAATCAGAAGCCCAAATTGAGTCTCCTCAGCACTAAAATGTTACCAAGGACCAAAGTATTGTCCAAGTGTGATGGCTAGTCGTGGTTGTCAACTTGACTCTATCTGGAATGAACTACAACCCAGATATGGAGGACACACCTTTAATCTGAGTCACACCTTCTTTCTGCCTGCTTGTCCTCACCTGTTAGCCCATCCATTCCTTCACTGTATTGGAGCCTACTTTGGGATTCCAGCATCTATAGAAAACCAGCTGAGACACCCAGCCTTATTGGACTAAGCAACTACTAAATTCTTGGATTTTCAGATCACAGCTAGCCATATATATGGAGAGAGCAAGCAGAGAGACAGAGAGAGAGAGAGAGAGAGAGAGAGAGAGAGAGAGAGAGAGAGAGAGAGAGAGAGAGAGAGAGAGAGAGACAGACAGAGAGAGACAGAGAGAGAGACAGAGAGAGACAGAGAGAGAGACAGAGAGAGACAGAGAGAGAGACAGAGAGACAGAGACAGAGACAGAGAGACAGAGAGACAGAGAGACAGAGACAGAGAGACAGAGACAGAGAGAGACAGAGACAGAGAGACAGAGAGAGAGAGAGAGAGAGAGAGAGAGAGAGAGAGAGAGAGAGAGAGAGAGAGAGAGAGAGAGAGAGAGGGAGAGGGAGAGAGAGAGAGAGATTGATTCATGCCATAAATTCTATGAGTCTAGAGAACCCTAACTAATTCACCAAGCCTAGGAAACAGATGAGAGTCAGAAGTCTTTTCCTACAAGGACATGACTGCAGCAACAGACACAATCTTGGCTGAGTGGACAGATCAGCTAATACAATACTGCCTAGGTGCTTCTTGGTGTGTCAGTGTACTGTGGCTATGTAAAAGTTTGTTTATTGTTTGTTTGGCTTTTTTGAGACAGGGTCTTACCATGTAGCCTGGGCTGGCCTGGAACTCTCTAGGTAGACCAGGCTGAACTGAGAGATCCACCTGCCTCTACCTCCCAAGCACTGGCACTAAAGGTATGTGCACCACTCATCCCATTTTTGCTTTAAAAAGGAAATTCCATCAGAGATGTCAGTTTAGAAACAAAATGGTCCATTACTTTCACAAGCTTCCAGTTTAGATAGTAAGCATGACATTGCTTCACTGTCTACAGAATTCCCACTATTTCAAAATATTCAAGTTGTTTGAAATAAAAGAACCAGACAGTGTTTACTTTGTTCCTCAAAAATAGCTAAAATCTGCCACTTTATTGTTTTTGAACCAATATTCCTTCTTGCATCAGCTAAACTTAACTGAAAACTCTAATTTAACAATTAATGAGCTAAAGCAGCCATCACAAATGCCTTTTGGCATTCTGATAAACTAATGTTTTGTTTGCTTTTCAAAATTAAATTTTTTAGAGCAAGTAAATATTAGTTCACTTCTCTTTTATGCGATACACTTATGAAATAGTGTTAAACACTATTTCAAATGATTAGGATTCTAGAAAATATAACATTTTTAAAGAAAAGGGAAAAGAGTGAGGACAAATGCTTGCTTATGATCTTCAGTCAACAGCATAATCAGCACACAGGCTAGAAGCCACCATGAGAGGCACTCAGCCTCCAAGAACAAGAACACCTGGTTCCTAGCTCCTGTTTCCCTTTTCACTGATATGTGGGCATCAGCAGAGCTAGCTGTACTTCACGAGGAGATGAATTAAACATCTGAACAGGGCCAGGGGTGAAGCTCGGTGCCCTGGGTTTGACCACCAACACCAATAGATGGAGAGGGTGAGAATCAATACAAGCTCCTTATATAAAAGGCCACTCATGTCCATTCAAGTTATTCTTTATTGCAAAACACAACCTAGAATTTGTGTTCTGCAGATCAAATTAAAAACAATTTAAATGTTGATAGATGTGAAGGATTGAAGGGAAGCCTGGTTTGTTCAGTACTGACCAACTTTCAACACTGTCAGTGATTGAGATGTTACTATACTATGGAGCTACATACTGATGGGCACTCTCTTACCAAAGAGAAAGATGATTATTTTTAGTTGTTTGCTGTAATCCTTAGCATTTTCAAGATTTCTCACAACAAATTCCTATGCAATTCATTTACAAAGCCTGCCTCAGAGAATGCTGACTCCTGGAGACACAGGTGATCACTGCTGAGGGACCCCAAAGGCCACAAGCATACCAGAGGTCAGGCCGGCAGGTGTGCAGAAATCAGAATTGTGCACTGCAGATCATTAGTTCACACTTGGAATAGTTACTAACCCTCTACACTGATCCACTATACACTGGCTCATCTACTTTTTACAGCAACGGTATGAATTAGTTTTATGGGTTAAAACTAATTTTACTATTTTGTACTCCCAATACAAAAACCTGAAACCTGAAATGCTCCAAAATTTAAAACTTTTGAGTGGTGACATGACCCCCCCACAATCAAAAGCAGGACCAACAGTGCCCCCTGTATGTCTGTCTCAGATGTGTCTGAGACATACGTGAATTCCGTGTTTAGATGTGTAGATCCCCAAGAACTAAGTGTATGCAGGTGTTCAAAATACAAAACACTCTGACATAAATACTCTAAATCAGAAGCACTCAACCTATACAGTTACCTGCATCCTTAGTTTACCCTACAGAGCTGCCTCTACCTTTAGTTTACACTGCCTGTCTCACAGCCACCTTGTCTCCACCAGGATTCTACCTTGCCAAAGGAACCAGATTATCTTCTACTTGAGATGTTATTTGAGAAACAGAATGAATCCTCAGTGGCATTTGGAATCAGGCAGCAGGGCTACTAGGATAGCCTGTGACTACAATTCAATAAAAAGAAAAAAGGAAAAAGAAAGAAAAGAAAAACAAGGTTTTCAATACCCTAGGTATGAAAATGAAAACAAAAAACAAACTACAAATCCTACAGAACCTAGAAGCTAGGATTAGGTATAAACATGTAACATGCAGTTATGTGGCAATGCTAGGAAAATATAATTTAACAGCTACATGCTAACACAATTTGCAGAAGGCCTTATGCTACCACACCTGTAAACTCAGGGCACTGCCTGAAATGCTCAAGAGTTTCCAACTTTGTAAAGATTTTAAAAAGAGGCCGGGCGTTGGTGGTGCACGCCTTTTATCCCAGCACTCGAGAGGCAGAGGCAGGCGGATCTCTGTGAGTTCAAAGCCAGTCTGGTCTACAGAGTGAATTCCAGGACAGCCTCCAAAACAATACAGAGAAACCCTGTCTCAGAAACAAACAAACAAAAAAAAAAAAAACAAAAAAACAAAAAAAGAAAAAGAAAAAGAAAACAAAAAGATTTTAAAAGGAAACAAAATTTCTATGGAGTTGTCCCCTAGTCTGTGACATATATAATGGAACCAAGTGAATAAAGAGCTATGTGATTGTTACAGCATTTTGGACAGAGGTATTTATTCCAAAAGAAGCAACCACCATCTATCTTTCCAGCCCAAGATTCCATTCTAGAACATTCCATGTGTGGAATGTCACTCTGCTACTGCTACAGAAATGTGACTTGTGAAAACGACAGAACTGTGCTAACACAAAAAACATCCTAGTAGTCTACAACCCCAAGTACACTGGGTGCCCTCATCACCAGCTCTGAGCATGGCTGTCCTCTTAATCTCAGCAACTAATGTCTCCAAGAAATGTATCCCCAATTCTATCCTGATTACAAGTGAAGGAAAGGGAAAGCCAATCCAAAGCTATGAGTGTTTTCTCCTTACAGTGGGATAAATCTGCCAGACAGTCCCTAGTGCATCTGTACTGGAGGAAGAGGAGGAGGGGAACAGCTGTCATAGATAATCAACAGTATCAAGAAAGATGCAGTCTGTAATTACTCAGCACAATCTTCTTGCTCTAGTTCCCTGACACATGCAAGGCCTCACCTACCATGTATTTAACACAGAGCCTTGGGTGTGTGGATGAACCACTTTAAGCACAACCCATTCCAGGTCTGCAAAGTTGTTCTTGTCAGTCACAACTAGATTGCATTTAGAGAATGCATGCAGAGTGGCCAGGAGTAGACTAACACCAACACTGTTACCTTTAAGGTTTTATAGTAAATGGCTCTGTTGATTTCCAGTGGAAATAAATTCTGCTCTTCACCTGAGCAAGCCCAGTTCACATAGCGCAGCCAGTTGCCCTTCTCCGGATCGGTGGCATCAATGCACATCCACCCCAAATTTGGGTAGTACACCTGTGGACAAAGAAGAACAAGCACGTGTTAGGACAAGAATGCCTAAAAACAGTTTCATCTTCAACTTTCCAAACAGCTGTTTTCACTATACACAAGCACTCTATGGCATTTCAGAGAAACACGATAAAGAAGCAATACATAAAAATATAGGCAGGAAACAGAAGCTACAAAACCTTATTCATTCTTTAGGGTTGCCCCCACACCCCCTAGAAATGTTTCCTGTACATGAAAACCGGTTACAACTGCATGCTCTCAAATGGGACTTAGTAAAATGCCTTCCTTCTAAGATACTCTGCCAGTCCAGTCCAGGCCTAGACTGCTGGGCTACACAGTCACAGTTGTATAGTCTTCTTGCTGACACGATTTACACGGACTTCACTTGCTGTGAACTACCCGGTGGGTGACAGGCTATGATGGTTTTGTAAACCTCTGTCCCTTACCACCTACACCGTCCAGCACATGTGTCAGAAGGAAGGTTCAGCGAGCATGTTAGTGAAGTACTGGGATGCTGCAGAAAAGTAACTGAAAACTCAGGACACAGGATCTACTTCCCTAGGATCATCCACACTTGCTCCTCAGATGCTGTCAATAAACACTTAGTTGGTCATGTCTTTGTTTTAAAGAACATCACCTCTGCAAGGAGTTTGAAGTTTAAGTGTGTGTGTGTGTGTGTGTGTGTGTGTGTGTGTGTGTGTGTTTATTCCACAAAACTCCTGAGTAGACACTGAACCAGAACTACAAATAGTCGTTCTTTCAGGAAGACTGAAAGGATTCTGGATGTGTCTCTTCCCCACACACACCTCGACTCCTTCCATTCCCTTCTTTTTTTTTTTTTTTTCCTCTCCCACCACATTAATCACCTTTAGCTAGGTGACTTCCTGCTCTCAGCTGATGACTGGGATTCTGACTTCCTGATGGAGCCTGGGTCCCTCAGCCTGGGGCTCTAAGTCTGGCTCTCACCTTCTAAGACACTGACACTACTAAGCTACACACTCCGTGTCCGACCTCATTGTAACTCAATGGAAATAAGGTATCTTCTAAGGCACAATGATGTTCATAAAGACAAATGTTCCACAGAAAAGGGTGAATACAACAGAGGGGATTGGAGAAGGGTGTATGGAGGACGGTGGGGCTTTTGCTTCTTTTTTGTTTTGTTTACTGAGAGTCTCACTCTGCAGTGTCATACATACACAAACACATTGCTGACTGAACAAAGTCACTTATTGAAAGAATGAACTATTCATTTTTGCCTAAATATGAGGATATATGAAGAGAAAATAAAACCACCATATCATTAATGGTTTTCTCTGAAAAAAATGGGATAATTGAGTATTATTTTTTCTTTTGCTTGTCTAAACTTTCTGCCTTTCCTTCACTGGTACAGCATGTACATCTGCATGAACTGCTCAAGGTACTTAGCATTTGAGATGTAAACTGGCAGCCATCCTGGTCTACATCGCAAGTTCCAGGCCAGTCCAGGATATATAGACCCTGCCTTTAAAAAACACAAAAATAAAAAAGTGTGTAGTGTTCTTACTTTTACTCAGCTTTAGTTTGTTAGTGGGGAACTAAGATAAGAATATGATTTGATACAATTCCCATGTTTGCTAGTTAAACATCAATTTCTAATCACATTAAATTCAGTGACTGACACGACGTGTATCTCTAAAATGTAATAAACATTTTCCTTTACTACTTGCTAAGCTACAAAAGTGTCGTCCATCATCAGACAAGGGTAGTGGGAGGACAGTGACAACCAACTATGATCACTTCCTCCATCAGTCACAAGGCAGGCAACGCTCCTTTCCTAGCTCAAAGCCAACAAGAGACACTGAAGATGTCTATTCCACATCTCCATAATGCCCAAGAAACACTTGGCTCACCTGATTCCAAAGAGGCACACAGAATCAAACTCTTTATCCTGATGCAACCCCCAAAGCAGCCTCCTCCACCAAGGCAGCCCGAACAAGCTGACTCCCAGTCCCCATGCCTCAGCTGGAGAGGAGGACTGAGAGAATGCCCCTGTACCAACTCTGGGGAGGCTTCGTGCTTTATAAATTTTTGTTCAATCATTGTAAGGGTCAACAAAATAATCTATAAATAGTATGTCTTTGATATCTAATGTTTTATATGCGTGTGTAGTGTTTGTATTTATGGGGAAGGTTTGGGTGTGCACATGGGTGCTGGTACGTACCTAAAGGAAGCTGGTAAGTGTCGGTTCCACTAGAGCTGGAGTTAATGGAACAGAGTCTAAGTCCTCCTCAACAGCAAATGTGCTCTTAACCACTGAACCATCTCTCCAGCCCCTGTGGAAGTCCTTTTTGTAAATGAAGAAACAGCACATAGGCAATTTTAGTAGACCCCTCTTTATAGTTTTCTTCTGGTGGCTGGGGTGTAACTCACCGTAAAGTGCTTATCCAGCAGGCTGGAGTGTTACCCCCAGCAGCACTAAACAAAAGGACAGAGCTTTCTTTCCACTCCTGACTCCTGCAGGTTAGGGTTGTGGAAGCCATTCCTGTTTCTCACAAAGCAGTCTGGGTGCTAACTCTTCTTCAAACACAGCACAAATAGCACAAATATCCTGTAACTTAATTTCAATTCTATTTAATCCAGCCATTTTAAAATAGTTTTAAAATAATCTAAATTCAAATGCAGTATGCATGCCCACTTGAATGTGACACATTCACACCACATCAAAGTCACATCTCCTTGCCATTTAGAAAAGAGAACTTGAAAAGAACAAGCCACATTATATCTCCCTTAATCACTTACTTATTACTCTGTAAGCATATTGGTTAACTTTGGAAATTTAAAACAAAACTCTCATTCACTCAATGAAGCATAACATCACTCAGACTCTCAACTGTTCACCTATAAGAACTCATCCAGTGAGGACAGCAACTGCCACAGACAGAACTGGCTAGAACTGAACCAGGGCCATCAAGAAGTCTCATGCTGGATCAACTCTCATATCAACCTGAGAATGATGCCTGATTAAAGCAGCTCTCTAACATGACAGCCTACAGTGACAAAACAGCATCCCTGGGCTACTGTCTGGACTTCCCTACAGTGCAGGTAACAAGTGTTGCTAACTCTTCACAACAGAGACAGAACCTCTCCTGGAGGCCAGGCTCCCACATCAGCATCCCCAGTCTGCCTACACTGTGGGAGACTCCTTTCCGTACCTCTGAGGGTTTCTTGCTGAACTTCAGCATGATGAGCTAAGCCAGCAATTCTCAACCTGTGGGTCAAGACCCCTTTGGGGGGGGGGGTCAAATGACCCTTTCACAGGAGTCACCTAGACCTTCAAAAAACACAGATATTTACATTATGCTTCACAGCAGTAACAAAATTGCAGTTATGAAGTAGCGGCGAGATAATGTTATGGTTGGGGTCACCACAGCATGAGGAACTGTATTAAAGGGTGGCGGCACAAGTCTGAGAACCACTGAACTAAACTGTTCTGTGCTTATGCACAGCCACGATTTTTAAAAATGTCTTGATTCTCTACGAAATCAAGTGTTTTTCTTCCTGTTTAGGCTCAAATAATATTACTGAGTTAGAATCATCTCTAGCAACTAATTTTATAAATATCATTGGACCTGCAAACAAAGCTATGAAGACAAAAAAGAGAAAGGTAACCTCACTCTGACATGAAAGAGTAATAAATGTATCTTCTCAAGTCTTCAAGGATTTTCCTAACACTACCCACAAAAATATCACATCTCTGGGACATGTTCAACCCCATTTGCACTTTAGTTACAGAGCAGGATGCCTTCAGGTCTCATTAAGGATAAGCAGACTGTTGCCCTGCAGAAGTAACTGTCTGGGACTACAGACAAAACGTTATCATCACTATCAACTACTCCACTCCTCAGATTACTCTAGAAGCTCAGGGGCTTCTCAAATGTTCTTAACATTCTACAATAAAGAAATAAAATTTAACTGGTAGTGGCGTATCTCAACAGAAAAGGCCCAATTGTCAGAGGACAGTTCCTAGGATGCAGGTTATTGGTACTGGCAATTCTAAACACAAATATAAAAGTGAACAGCCTGGCTTCTTAGGCCCTCAAAGTCCAGCCACTGTCCATCTCTTTTGAACATGCTTAGGTGACTGACCCTCTTTTGAAATCACTGGGAGTAGGTCTCAGATCTACAACTATATAAATGTTTGTGGGAAATCCTCCAACAACAGATGCTCTAAAAAAAATATAAACTGTTTCCAAGAAAGTTTCCTAATCAAATTCTAGTGGGTTTGCTTCTTTAAAACACAATATTAAAATCTTTGCACTATGCAAAGACAATTTCAGTTCCTATTTCAATTGATAAGCTATTCTACTTTCTCCTTCTCTCTCCTAGACTCAAGTTTATTGCCAAGATGACCAAAACACAAATCAGTGATAGTTCACTTAAAAGAAGAGTTTTTTTTTTAAAGGCGATTAAAAGGATAACAATAGTGTATTTCAAAGGCCTGGGGGAGAGGGGAAGCATACTCTTACTGGTTATACATCATTATATTCTTTCTAAGGGCTATGGGGTAAAACTGACCAAAAATATACAGAAGTTTACATGACTTTTGACTTAACATTTACACTTCTAGGAATGCATCTTAAAGAAAATATCACACAAGTCAGCATATTGCATGTATAGTGAGTTTACACTTTGAAGAACTGCACATACTCATCAAAAGACTAAAGTACTTAAATGTTCAAAAGGTAAATCATGGATGGTATACAAATGGAATTATGAGCAACCACAGAAAAAATGGCACACACCAAGTACTTGACAGGCATTCCCCTGGTACATTTGTAGGAAACATGCATATTACATCCCTATACAAGGTGTAGAAACAGGTGCTATTGTGAGAGACAAGGACAACAAAGGCATTAGGCAGAGAAAAGACAGCCTGCACTACATGAAACTCTGACCAAAATAATTCCTTATTAGTCTAGTAAATTTTAAATATAGAGTTAAAAGAATGTTCATAGAGATGTGTGGGTGCTGGGAATTTAAGTCAATTTTACCTTTTGGTGAGCTTTTTCTGTGGTAAGCATATAGTTTATTGTTGTTGTGTTGTTTTAATTACATTTATTTGTGTGTGTGTGTATGCATGTAAAGTCCGGAGACAACTTGAGAAGTCAAGTTTCTCCTTCCACCACATGGGTTCAGTGATGGAATTCAGGTCATCAGGCTGGGTGGCAGCACCTTCACCTGTTGCTCGAATTCTAATAGAGAAGTAAAGGATCCAGCTACTAGAGAGACCTTTTACCTCTACCGAAACCTGAGACCAAAGCAGGCAAGATCCTATCTCCACAAATCCTCAGACTGAATGCCCTACACACCTGTCTCCTCCCGCTTATTTTCCTCTCTCCCTTCCTGTCTCTACCTCCTTAGTGCTGGGATTAAAGGCCTGTGACTACCAAATCCTGGGATTAAAGGTACAAGCCACCACCACCTGGTTCTGTTTCTCTTTGAGGCCGGATCAGTCTCAAGTCCAGAGTGGCCTTGAACTCATAGAGAACCATCTGCTTCCTGAGTGTTGGGATTAAAGGTGTGTGCCTCCACTGCCTAGCCTCTATGGCTACTTACTAGTGGCTTAGTTCTGCACTCTGATCATCAGCAAGCTTTGTTAGATCACAAACAAAATATCACCACATTCATCCAATGAGGCATCTTGCTGGTCTTGTTTAAAATTTTAAGAGTTATATGCTAGGTTGGGTGTCACATACCTTTAACTCCTGCACTGTGGCAGCAGTGGCAGAAAGAACTCTCTATATGTTCAAATCCTGTCTGCCTAGCAAGTTTCAGGACAGCCAGGCTATATAGACCATCTCAGAAGAAAACGTTTTTTTTAAATACTTATTAGAATTTATACCAAGAATAAGCTAACACAAACTAAGCTCTTTAGGTGATAACAGCCCTTGGATGCAGGTTTAGTAATAATAACAAATGTCTCACTCTAGTAGAGAATGTTATACTAGATCAAGAAATCCTCACCAGACATGTATAGAATGTTATACTAGATCAAGACGCCCCTCACCAGACATGTACAGAATGTTATACTAGATCAAGAAGCCCCTCACCAGACATGTATAGAAGGTTATAACAGATCAAGAAGCTCCTCACCAGACATGAAGAAAATGTTATAATAGATCAAGAAGCCCCCGACCAGATATGTAAAGCTCCTTGATCTTGGACTCCTTGGCCTTCACAATAAGCTTCTGTACATTACCCTGGCTCTGGTATTTTATCAGAGCAGCCCAAAACAAATTAAGACAGAAACTATCTCCACTTTCCAATCAATTTTTCTCTGAACCTAACACTATTCTAAAAAATGTAAAGTATAATTAATAGCTAGGAACAGTGGTTAGGTTAATGCAGGAGGAATCTGAGTTTGAGGATAAGCTACAAGCAAGGCTCTTTCAAAGCAATAAAAGTAAATAATAATATAACAATAATAATAATCTATTTTAAAGGATTATAAGAATAATTCTTACTCAGATAATACAAAAAAAATCTGTTTACTAGCAGCAATACAGGGGCTAAACCTGAAAGGCTTTTTATCAGCTAGGCATACAGTAGCCCATGCATGCAATCCCAGCACATGGAAGGCAGAGGTAGTTCAAAGTCAACCTAGGCTACAAAGCAAGACTTTGCCTTTGAAAGTGGGAGGAGGACTTTTTTTTTTTACTTAGGGATGATTTCAAAATTCTGATATTGCTCAACACCCTAGGGTGGTCAAGAGAAGTGCTATAGGCATCCAGCATGTCAGGCCCCCGCAGTCCTGCTTGGGCAGATCAAAGCATGCATTCTTCCAAGAACCTAGTTCATGCACTCACCCTGAGCGTCTGTCACCCTCCTCTGGATTTAGAGGAATGTGACTGCTTTTGGTGAAAGCTTGGAGGAGTTAAGGAGTCAGACCTTCAAGGGCTCAAGAGAAACAATTTAACACTTTGTCTTAGGTTAGCACACAATGGTGAACTGGTGGGGTGGAAGATTCCACTGCTACAAGCAGTCTTTAGGGGGCTTTGATGGAAGAACAAATCCAAAATGCAGCTCTGATGATATACTCTTTCTGGGACACTAGGAGGATACTTTCTGATGCAAGTGTGAGGATTCGATCAGCATTGGAATAAATTAATGAGAAGTATTTTACCTTGATTTTCCATTTATTTATGAGAAATATGCCCATTATAATTGACATTCCTGATAGCTTGCCATATGCAAGGATATACACCTATGTCATCTATATCCTACATTAGCATTCTTTTAAAAATAAAAGATGTAAGAACTAAGTGAATGAGATCCTGACTTTTCTCCCTTGTAAGGAGAAGTCAGTCTTCACAGGAACAAGATGATAAACTCAAACCTGACTCAAAAGAAGTGGTACTTTCATGATGACTTGCAAAATGAAGCATGCGTATGTAAAGAATCCTAAGTTATTAGCACTAAGATGATGCATGTGTAGAAGAAAATGAGTCCCTAGTATCTCATGGTTAGGAATCACAATCAGCAAGTGACACTCAAGCCTTAGTAGGTGTGAATTTTAATGCAGATGATTACTCCCATAAGACAGGAGTGATGGTTTGTACAGCCATGTCCAACATGAAACTGTTACACTTGATAGAAGGTGCCACTGACTTTGCTTTAGCAGTAATGGCATTTATTCTACTTGGCACTTGTACAGAAAGAATGTTGAGTAAGCATTTGACTCCCTATATACTCCTCACTATGATTAATGCTAACAAGGACGAGCATGCCTGTTAGCTTCCTTTGGGAAACTTTTAAAATTAAAAATGTGCTTTATTTGAGGGCAACAGTGTACAAGCAACACATTTTAAATGGCACAAGTACTCTCTTTAGTAATGAAGATGTTGTGTTATCAGACAGCTTTTCTACAATTACAAATCTCTTTCACATCCAAACAGTCCTGATTCTTTTGGTAAATCTTTATGTCCTAAAGCCCCCAGGGTTCACTGCCAGACACTATCACAGATGGCAGACTCACAAGAAACAAACACAAAATGATGAAACTGTCAGATCAAGCTATACCCCTTACAGCCTTAAGAGCTCCCCCTGCCTCCCTGTCCCCCATGCCCTGAGCTTCTTGGAGAGATGTGCCCACACATTTTACTGTCAGGCTTTTATATGTCAACAAGTATGAAAAAAATGTGATTCCTTCTCATTCAAAATGGAACCTGTAAAGGAGTCATGCCCTGAGGTGCTCCTCAGGGCACTGACCTGCAAAACCCTATGCAAAACCCAAGAACATGATCAACACATAGAGTCACAAGCACCCTAATGAAATGTTTTCAGTGCCCTACTTTTCTTTAAACTGAAGACTTAACCGTCCATAGGTTAAGGAAGTCAGGAAGCTAGTGTAGAAGCAGGATCTGGCCCAGGCAATCTGACAGAACATGTGTAACTGTCCCACTGTTCCCAGGAGACACGGCTCTGACTACATCTGCCCCACTCAAGCATGGACCTGCAGAACAACGGCAGCCCCTCCTTTTTCTGGATGCTTCTATAAAAGGCTGGCACTGCCCTGCTTTGTCCTCCAGGGCTGTTGAAAAAATATGCAGTAGAATGGAAAGCTTTCACAAAATTAAAAGTCCAGGGTTAGAGAAATGGTTCAGTGGTTAAGAACACCAGGTGGGTTCAATTCCCAGCAACCACATGGCAGCTCACAACTGTCTGTAGCTCCATTTCCAGGGTATTCAACGACTTGCAGGCAAAACACCAATGCACAAGAAATAAAAATAAATATATCATTGGAAAAATTACAAGTTCAATGTAAATGTGTCATATGCTATATATGTTTACAATATTTCAGGGACATAGGAACTACTTTCTGACAGGTAGAAAGGAATCTAATACTGTTCCTGGCAGCCTTTGAAGTGCTTTTTGTGGTGTATATCTGTGTCATTTGTAAAGTGACAAGCTACCACACAGGAAGTCAAGGTCTTAGGTACACGGCAAAATGCCCTGGACAAGGACTGCAAAAAAATAAATGAGACATCTACCATCAAGAACATCCAAGCAGCTTCAAACTACACACATATACAAACAACAATCACCCAGTAAAGCTAATATTCTCATTAACAAATAGCCTATTTTTAAAGAACATATTAAATTAGTTTTAACTCTAAAACGTCAAATCATGTGAGAACAGGTAGTGGTGTCTTTAAAATAATGGAAACTCTCTTACCTCCCACATGTACACATTATTCCTAACCTGAGATCGTTTCTTCTTATCACCAACAAATGGCCCAAACTTTTTCCCTTTTAAAATTGGTTTAGTGGCCCAGACACCTAGAAAAACAAAACCAATATTTTTATAATGTAATGTGGTTATTTAAAATATTAAAAGCATTAATGCCATTCAGTTTTACAAAACAATTACAAAGCAAGGTTGCCTAACAGAAAGATAACTGAGTAAGTTCAACCAAACCAAATCAAGTCCTCCAGGGGCTTGTGAGTTTTCTTCTGTAGCCTCTTGGTATTTTCTAAAGAATTTGTAAGGAATCTACATTGCTTTGTACCTTTTTAAAAGTTTACATTAACTTTTCATATATAAAATAGACCATATATAGTACAATCACAAAACTTGAAAATTAACATAAGAAAAAATACAAATGAAATAAAACTACAAATAAATTTTTCACTGTCTATCTACAGATTTCAAACTGTCCCTACTAAACATAAGTTGTTCTTATAATGGTTAGGACTTGGTTTTTATTAATGAATACTGTCAAAGTTATTTGCCTAATTAGAGTGGAAAATCCTTTCCTCTCTCATTAGTTCCTGATGGCACAACTTGCCTTCCAGAGTTTCAAGCAGTCAACATACAGGCTTACCCATAGCACCCCTAGGATTATGTAATCTCTTATTCACGTATCATAAAGCACACAGACAGGATAAAGGCACAGTCAATGGAATGGCAGGAGCCCAGGAGTCAAGAGACTCCCACATTCTAGATGGGATCCCTCATGTACACAGAACGAGAGGTGGAGGCTAGTTCAGCCATGTGTGGCTGACATATACACCCCACTCCCAGCAAAAGTCAGCTTGGAACCACATCTGTGAGTACTAACAACCACTGGGCTGAACTGTGGGGCAACCACTTTTGTTCAGACAAAATAATATAAAAACCCCAATGCTCACTAAGCAAATTTCCAATGAGAATTACAAAAAGTGCTTCTCAGAATCCACTGATCAGAAGAGGATCTAAGAAACAAAAAGAGGTATAAGCATCATCTACTCAAGAGTGTGTTCTTACAAGGTCATTACAATTTAATCTTAGCCCTCACCTAAAACTTATATCACAAAAACAAAAATCAAATACACACAAGCTTGTATGTTCAACAAGAAATTCTAGCCAGCCTATGGTGCTCATTCAGGTACCCCCAGAGGGTTCTGAAGTATCTGGAAATGTCGAAACAATGGGTAAAGCAGACTCTCTTGTCAGTAACAGAAACAAATAGAAAGTCAACTGAAAAAGGAAATAAATGTAATAACAATCACACTCAAGGCATGGCAAAATCAGTGGAAACCACTCACTTTGTGGGACAAGGCTCACAAGGATGCAGAGGAGGGCACACTTGGGCGTAGAACCAAGGATAGAATATGCAGGTTCAGTAAGAGAGGAGGACTGGTTTCCTCCCCACCCCTCAACACCACCCCATCCCCCGGTTTTTCGAGACAGGGTTTCTCTGTGTAGCCCTGGCTGTCCTGGAACTCTCTCTGTAGACCAGGCTGGCCTCAAACTCACTGAGATCCGCCTGCCTCTGCCTCCTGAGCCCTGGGATTAAAGGTGTGCACCACCTCCCTGCTAGTTGCCTTTCTTTTTTTTTTTTTTCTTTTTTTACGAGACAGGGTTTCTCTGCCTTTTTATAAGCCATGTCCACCCTGGATTCTTGTGTGGAAAGTATATATACACCACCTAACTGAAGTGAGGGCCAACCTTTCCTTTCTTGGTATAATGCTCTAACACGATCTCTGCTCCCAAAGGAAGCAACCTACTCTTTGCTGCCTGACTCCTGTGATGAGCCTACTCACCAATCCGGGTCTTGTCAACCGCAGATGGTAAAAGCCTCACTTCCTCTGGAAGTCCTCGAAGCACATGTTCAGGTACCTCGGCCAGAGTCTCGGTGGCGGCCACAGACTCGGTGTTCTGTAAGTCAAACAGCAAAGGATCATAGGAAAAGGAAGAAAACCAGTAGTGTTGGTTTTCGTTTTGTTTTGCATTGCTCTTTAACTTCTCATCCAATAGGCAAATAATGAGAACTAACTGAAACTGCAGTATGCAAAGCAGACGGGGACAGGTCGCTAAGCAGCTCTGCGGTTCCTGTGCCACTTACTGGCTCTCGTAATGAAACACCAGTATCCTGCAAACTGGTGTCTATTTTGCTCTAGCCACCTATATCCAGTTTCAAAATATGTAAGTCCTCGGCATGCACTGCTCTTTAGCTTCTAACAGAGCCAGGCAGCAAAGTACAGCTTATGCCTGTTTCTAAAGCAAAGGCTACCAGCAGTACACCACAACCCTAAAAAAAACAATTTTGGCACACTCCATGAAGGCCATCTAACCAATTAAATGATGCCCCCTTCTGAATTCCTCCAGCAACCTGAGCAGCTTGGACATTCCACACAGGGTGACAGTTTACTGTTAACCCTCTCTACAAGTCAGACTTCCCAAGAAGCAACAGATGACCAGTTTGTACTTGGTTACTAGACAGCAAAGGCATGATATCTCAGAGCTGACAGCAAATAAAGAATGCTATACAATTACCTCTCAAAATTTAGCTGGGATTCATCAAAATCTTAAAAAATAAGATTAGTATTAGATATTTATAAAGGAATAAGGGGACTGATGTCAATGAGAACAAAGATGTAGCTCTTAGAATAACTGACAAATCTATCAAATCATAGAAAACCAAAATGATTAATTTTCCCACAACAATGAAGCATTTGCAATTCTTCTTTGTTTGTTTATTTGTTTTTTGACACAGGGTCTCTCTGTGTAGTCCAGGCTGTCCTGGAACTCAGTATGTAGACCAGGTTGGAGTGATAATGAGCAAAGGAGTCAAGATCATGTTCAGGAAACCCACAGAAACAGCTGTCCCAAGCAAGTGGGAGCTCACTGACTCCAGACTGACAACTGGAGAACCTGCATAAGACCAAACCAGCCACTGAATATTGGTAACAGTTAGGGGACTTGGACAGTTTATGGGGACACTGGCAGTGGAACCAGTATTTATCTCTAGTGCATGAACTGGCTTTTTTGGAGCCCATTCCCTATGGAGAGATACTTTGCTGAGCCTAGACACAGTGGGAGGGCTTTGGTCCTTCCCCAAATGATGTGGCAGACTTTGATGATTCCCCATGGGAGGCCTCACTCTCTCTGAGGGGTGGATGGGGGGGTGGGGGAGAGGGTGGGGAAATAGAAAGAAGGGAGGGAGAGAGAACTGGGATTGGCATATAAAATAACATTGTTTTAAAAATAATAAAAATAAATATTTTTTAAAAAAGAGTATGTCTGTGATACTCAAAGTCAGCCTGGTCTCTGTATTGAATTCCAGAACAGCCAGAACTACATAATATAATACAGACATCCTCTCTCAAAAACAACAATAAAATGTTAGGTACTAAGACCCCCTGCCAAAAAAAAGTCATCCAAACTCAAAACTCCTGGAGTTTCAGTTAAAGAAAAAAAAAAGTCTGTTTTAATAAAAATCAATTCCAGTCATCATGGACTACTCTCTGGCCTGCTTGGAGTCAGAAAGCCCAAGAGGATATCTACAGACGCGTGACCTCTGGGGCACGGCCAAACCACCAGTGTGCTTGTTTCCGAAAAACACATACTTCGTTCTACTCTGACTTACATCCCTTCCAACAAATCACCCAACACATTTTCTGAAAATGTGACCTTTTAATTACCCCCAGAAAGCAGCCTCCTGTACCTCTAATTAGCTAAAAATATGAATAAACTAAGCAGACATTTTTCACTTCTACATATGGTATTTCTGTTTTTAAATGTTTTAATCTATAAGCGAGGTATATGGAAAAATGAATAAGCTTTCTGTCAAAGGGAGAAAAATACTGACCTGACAATATCCTACAATGTGATTTTTCTATGGCTGCAATAAGCTAAATAGCATCAATAAGTACTAGCCAGAATTATGAGTATGGGAGTCTAGACACTTAGAATAACCAATGAGATCCTTCTCCCCTTTCCTTTCTAGCTGTGGTCCACCTATCCTCCCCCAGGTAGCCTCTACACACACACACACACACACACACACACACACACACACACGTTTTCAACCTGAACTTTGTAAACAAATCATGGATACCAAGGGCTGACTACACAATAATCCTTTTTATTAGAAAAATCAAATTTAGAAACAAGCAATTAAGAAGTAAATCTTTGGAACAAAAGAATTTTTTTTAATTCTCTCCCTTACAGCATTCATATAGTTTACTTTGACAGTATTCTGAACTGGCTGGCCTTGGTTCTTACACGAAATAATCACAACTATTTCTCAGTTTGGTCGTAATCTAAAAGAAACCACATTATCAACTCAATATTAGTGCATTAATGTATTTCTGAGTCCCTACTGAAGTTCAAACAACACATCACATTTGCCCTACAATGCATCTCTATGGTAAGGAGCAGTCCAAATGCAATGAAACAATGCCAATGCTTGGAATCAAAAGCAAGCATGGAAAGGGAGCAGCGATGGGATGGGAACAGAAGTGCCACTGCAGAGAAAAATGTGCTAGGCTTCAGGTGACGAAATGCAAAACAACAGTAAGGACCAAATCATGACGAGGAAGAAGCCTGGTGAACTCTCAAGAGCAGTTAGGCAAAACTAAGGCCAACGTGTTCAGGACAGAGGAGATAGAAGGAGGCAGCAAGAGCTAAGGCAGGGACAGCCAAAGGTGAAGCTGAGAGAACAGCGTCCTCCCATCATGGGGCAAAGGACAAAGGAGGCAACCAGACAACAGCGGAAGGTGTGCTCAGCAAGTGACTGGCTGCTCCTTTAGACTCTCAGACTCCTCCTCCACAGTACGTGTCCAGGATGTCTATCCTTGCTGCCTACTTTGGGTTTTTAACAAGACCTCTGTGCTCTGAATGGCAAGAGTTACAGGATTTCCCTGTTTTCCTATAGTAAGGACTCACTCTAAACATGCCATGCACAAATCTGGGACAGTGAGCATGAAATTTAGTGTGGTAAGTTATTGAGTTACTGAGACTTAACTAATTCATTGATTTTTATTGATCCGATGCCCTTAGTTTGCTACTACCTCAAACCAGAGAGCTAGTCATTCCCCCTCATCCCCAACTGATGGCCACAGGTCCTCCTTCTTCATTCAGTCATTAACAAACACTTTCTGAGCGCCTGTTCCATGCTGGCACTGTGCTGGGTAGCAAGGAAACAATGGTTAATTGTTAATAGCACCAATCAAGACCTCCTCACCCAATAGGGAACCTCTATTCCCAATGTCTAACACAAGAAACCTTAAAGATGCCATGCTCTATGTCTGACCTTACTGGGAACTGTGAAGAGCCACGTGCTTTCCCCAGCCATCTGTCCCTTGACCCTCATGTCTTGCTCATGCTAGACGGATGGGGACCTGTGGGAGGGTAAGATGCACTCTTCCTTCTGGGCAAATGTGTGCTCAGTGCTTTATGAATGTTCCATCATTTAATCATCGTAACAACCACAGCCACAGTGAATTCAACAGTGTTTGGAAGAGATCAGACACTACTCCATGGTGATCCAAGCACAAAATGCCTCACTCACTCACTGTGCTACAACCTACAAAAAGGTACTTTTATGGCCCATACTTTACAGAGGAAAGTGAAAGTTGCCCATAGTCACAGCCAATGTGTGGCAGAGCTAAGTGATCCAAGCAAGACTCTAGCCAGGCTAGGGTAGGACCACGGGGCAGTCATGAAGAGTCACTTTCCATGCTATACACTGTGATATTGCAATCAGATAAAACCCAGATGGTCCCTATTGCTCCAACCTTTCGGGGGTTCACAAAGTCAGACACGTCAGACCTACTATTATAACACTAGGAAATCATCTGCCATTTTTACCACACGGTGTGGAGAGTGAAATTTGCTGGAGCCTGGACGCATGATAAAATCATCATCCTGACAGCTGACAAACATGTGAATGCTAACTTTCTGAAGCTTTTCTGATTTGTGAACAGACCCTGTAGTCTAAATCATACCAAACCTATCAAAATTTTGATACTCCCCTAGAACTATGTGATTCCTACCCCTGGAGAAACCGAGGTTAAAGACATGGGGTGATGCAGCATTCCAAGGTGATGTTGCTAACCTCTGAGGGAACAAACTAGAACAATCTGGGGTGCACTGCAGTGTTTCAGTGCTGCAGTCAGCCCAGGAGGGACAAGAAAGCAACAGAACAGACTTCCCCCGTCCACTATCACTGGTACTGTTGGCCTACGCACTTCACCAGGATCAGCCAGGGCCCTTCAAGCCTGTCTCTGCTTTCCTTCCCTACAAGACTTCCTGTGGCTGGCATTCAGTGAGTCCTTACTGGCTGGTGTATCGATCAAGAGCAGGTTTAAGGCATGCATACCTGTGCCTCGTGTCTGGCCCAGAACAGGAGACACAAAGTGGGGACTATGAAAAAATAAGCCAAGGTCCAGCTTCAACGCCCAAGAATTCTGTGGTAGCTTGAATGTAATTGGCCCCCATATGCTCATAGGGATGGCACTATTGGGAGGGGCGGCCTTTGTTGAAGAAGTGTGTCACTGTGAGGGCAGGCTTTAAGGTCTCTTTTGTTTAAGGTTCGCTCAGTGTCACAATCCACTTCCCATCCCCAGCAAGATGTAGGACTCTCAGCTACTTCTCCAGCACCATGTCTGCCTTCATGCTGCCATGATGATAATGGACTGAACCTCTGAACTGTAAGCCACAACCTCAATTAAATGTTTTCCTTTTTAAGAGTTGTCATGGTCATGGTGTGTCTTCACAGCAGCAGAAACCCTAACTAAGACAAAGTCTGGGGCACAAAGAGTACATGGATGCCTGGGAATGTAGAAGAGGCTTCATGGGAAGCAGAGAACACAAGATGCCATTATCCCAGAGTGAAGTGGACACAAGGGAGAAATGAATGTGTGTTAGAAGCC